ACCCGCGGCGAACTTATTGCTGGAAGAAATGCTTATAAATGCCCAATGCGCGTAGCCGATTAATTGCACATAAAAATTAACAATAATCAGCAGCAGCAGCAGCAGCAGCACCTGACAATGGCTTAGCCGCAGTCCGAGCCGAGCTGCCTCTTAGTTATCACACCTTTGGGTACGCACCGTGGGCACAACAATGTTGCACTTTGTATGGCGGGCAACAAATTTTTTATGTGCACCAAATTGAGTCATAAAATACATTTTCACCTCCGCCGCTCAAGCTGGAAAGCTGGAAAAGACGAAACATCGAAAGTGCAACCGGCTGGCGGTGGCGGGCCTTAAGTGATCCATTTGAAATGCATTGAGTGGATATTTTATGGGGCACGGGGCAGACGTTTAGCGAGGCTGTGCCTCTAGTGCCTGAAAGCGGGCACCAGCATAATAAATATCTCAAATCTATCGATATCACTTCGATAGGTGCGAAGGAAGTAGATGTCTAGATAAGACAGGCATTTCTTTAACTCAAATTTTAAGCGAATCAGTTGAAGTTAAGTGAAATGTTTGCCAGCTTAAGTAGTCGATAACATATCGATAGTATATTGGTCTATGACTTGACTTACAAGTCTTATGCGCCAACTTAGTTTATCGATAAGAAATCGATAGGCAAGTAATTATCGAAAGTCATGCATTTATATGTAGATTGCTCTTCGGTCTGATGCACAGCTTCAATTTATGGCAGCCAATATCTCGAATGGGACTGGAACTGGAACTAGAGCTAGAACTGAAACTATAATTGAATGTTATATATAATTTGATTATTTAAACCATTCGCTAAGTTAAGTTATCGATAACAAATCGATAGGCAAGTAATTATCGAATGGCATACTTCGATGTGTAGATTGCTCATCGGGAATTGGAACTGGAATTGGAACTTGAACAAGAATTACATCTGAAACTACTCTTGAATGAAATGTACAATTTGAATATTATCGATAAGCAATTGATAGGCTAGTAATTATCGAATGGCATACAATTATATGTAGATTGGTCTTCGGCCTCTTTTATTTATGGCAGCCAATAACTCAAACTGGAACTGGAACTGGAACTAGAGCTAGAACTGAAACCATACTTGAATGAAATGTTTAATTTGAATGTGTCAAGCATTTGCCAAGTTAAGTTATAAATAACATATCGATAGGCAACTAATTATCGACTGGCATACATCGATATGAAGATTGCTCTTCGAGCTGATGCACAACTTCAATTTATGGCAGCCAATATCTCGAACGGGAACTGGAACTGGAAGTGGAACTGGAAAACAAAACTTAAAAATGTTTTATTGGCAGAGCGACTAAAAATTGGCCCAGCTTAGAGATAAGAGGCATCAAGACGCTCGCCAACTTAATGACCAGCGATGAAAGAGCCACAAAGGCAAAGCTAACAAACAACGACTTGGCCATACACTTACACAGCTGTTGGCCGAGGTAAGTGGACAGGCTGCGAAACGAGGTGTTGATTGTGGCCTTTTGTGAACCTCTCAGCATCTCGGCCACTCCTGGGGGCCATAAAAACTTCGCACAGGTGCCAAAATCATTTGCGTGGCCGGCCGGCAGCTTTTCTTAGCTAGATGCGTAGAATTTATAGGCTCAAGCGGGCACTAAAAATTTAAATTGCGTCCATTTAGTGGCCAGCATCAACAGCAACAACAGCAACAACAACTCCCAAGAGCCAAGCATCAAACAACATCAATTTAAGCGAACGCCGTTCTATCGAGCATCCTTTATACACACTTTAGTGTCTGCTATTAGAGGGTATACTGTTTCAGCCACAGAAGATGTAACGAGCTGGCTTAAATAGAAACACAAGTTGGTCGTCTGCTAGGGTATCATATGCTCGAGACCTTTTGTGCTTGGAGTTTGTTTTATGTGGCTTGGGCCTCAACTGTGCTTTATCTTAGTTCTTGCGGTTGGTGTTGTTGGCCTGCTGGCTGATCTGGAGCAGCGATAAATTCGAGTCACCTTTGTGTTGGCCCGTTGTTGACAAATCAGTCGTCGTCGTCGGCACACGCGCTGCCCAATTTGAAGCTGACTCGAACGGCAGACCCGTTGTCACCTACAAAGCCATTTACCCCCACGTCGCGATCGGGACTTTTGCTGTTGCTGTTGCTGTTGCATCCCAATGGACCGTCGTCTTGGGTTTGTCTTGCTCGTTGCGAAGGGCAACACATTAAAAGTAAATTAACTTATCAGCGACAACGATCAGTTATTTTATTACGTTTGTCCATGCAGTAACACGAACATTATAATATCAAAGATGCCGATTAAGATTCTCAACGGAACTGAGCTGAGCTCAGCGGAGCTGATGAGACGGACTTATCATAGCAGAGTGGGAGCAAAAGCCGTTGTCCCCACACAGGGATTCGCTTAAGCATCTGTGCATTGCATAGGGGTTATTAGCTAGAGATCTTAGAAATAGCCATGTCCACATAACTAATATGGCAAGAGATCTAGGCAGTGCGAGAGTAATAGTTCCCGAAGGAGAAACATCTGGAGTAGGCATAATTTGTGGTCGATCGAACGAAGCAAATGTGCATATAACTGTTAAGGGAAGTGACAGCCAGACGGTAGATACCCTGTAGTCTTTAGCCTTGCTCAGTTACATCTGAGAAAATAGTCAAAATCTAAGGAAATTTGTTCGAGTGCTGAGTTAAGGTTTCCCAGTCAATCGCCTCTACCTCCGAAGTAAGAGCATGTTAGTTGCCAATAATATTAATAATGAATAATAATAAAGAAACTAAGACTGAAGGAGCGCTGCGACGGCTAGTCACAGGCGGGCTGAGAGCTATCTGGCTGGTTGGCAGTTGGAGCTCAGAGACGGGACAGCTGGGTGGTGTTGCGGATGTTGTTAACAGCAAAGCAAACACATTGATAAGCCGAGTCGAGTCAATAAATTAGTGAACATTAACTGGCAAACAAACACGCTAATTAGATAGTTAGATAGGCAGCCTGCAGACGGCTGGCAGCAGGCGGCGCAAAATTCGCAGAACACACAGCACGCTGAATGGGAGCGACTGGGGAGGGGAGGGGTGATCTGGATTGGAGAACAGCAAACTCTTCCTGCGAGTGCATGAATGCGACCGGAAAAACTGGCAAATGGCCAGCAGAAGGCAAGCCGTAGAGACCGTAGAATAGAAGCAGGGGCGGAACTCGAAGACTGTCGAGTCGTCAGACAGACAGAGAAACAAATAGTCGGAGAGACAGTCAGATAGACAGAGTGCATATTGGCAACTGCGCATTGCGGTTGGCGACTTTTATACAGTTTGCACAATTATTTTAAGCATTCAATTGGAATTCGACCGCAGAACGCACAAGGAGGCGCAACCGCAGGATATATGCCTGGCTGCAATTATATGCATTTAAATGCAATAACCGTCATCAGCCGGAATGAGCAAGAAGCCAGAGGCAGTCAGTCCGTCATTGAGTCGGTCACAGAGTCATCCATTGTCTGATCCTTGCAGCACGACGAGTCCAATTATTTGAAATGCGCGACCCGCAATTGAAGCGCGCGCTCGTCCTGTCAGTTGCTGCTCTAATTTCGTTGCGCCTTTTGCCACTAACCGCACTAGCATCGCCTAATGACCTCGACTGCTGCGCTACCAACTACCGACTCCACTTCCAACTTCTAAGTCCGATTCAATATCAATCAAACGTTTGCCGCTCGACAAATTGCATTTGGGTCTCTAGCCTAGACCTCGCACATCCGCTGTGAAAACTAATTAGTCCTCAACTAATGCTCTTCGGGGCAACATGTGGCCCTTTTTTGTTGTTCTCCTTGCAGTTGTTGTGTGAGGCTGTTGAGCTATTGGCGTGGAATTTTAATTGGCGCTTACGCTCGGCAACTTCAATCAATCGAAGAGAGGCTGCCCAACCCGAGACAGTCCCTTTGCTGGCCAAAATATTCGCGTTCGAAGGGATATATTAGCTATATTACTATATATGGCAGTTTAGATTAATGGAATAGTTACTCAAAAGCGAAGCTTGAGGTCTCTAAGGTAAAGTGAAGAGTTAAGCTTAAGCTAAGTTATTTTCTTATTGAATAAAAATTTTATAATTAAGTTCAGTAAAAGTTGTTGAATTTTAATATCATAAATAAATTATAAAGCGAGCAGTATTTGTTCAAGAAATTTAAGCTTTGCCAATAAAAAATAATTGAATTAAACTTATACAAAAATTTAGAATTGAAATATAAATAAGGAATAGAGCAAATAGAAAAGAGAAACACATTTTATATTTTATATTTTGAGCCATGATTCGTATGGGAGCTGCTGCTTAGAATCCTTCGCTCATATCAAATAGGAATAAGCGTATTTAGCTCAAAAGATGAAGCTCAAAAAGCTATTCGAATGCGATCCCTTTTCTAATGGTCCGTGGCATCTGAAGTGACGCCACGGGCGCGCCATTTTGTCGGGCTCCAGAGCACTGTGGAGTTGTGGGCCGCGTTGTGTGCTGGGAGCGGCCCACTTGACGAGTCGCGTCCTTTTGCCATGCCAGTGGCGGTTTGACCGACATTCGTATTCGCTTTATGGCTGGCTCAGCGCACGTACTTGATTTGCGCTGCTGGCGCGCTGCGACTACGCGACTCAGCATCGAGCTCAACACAGTTGCCATAAAAACTGGCCGCGAAACTCACCACAGCTGAGCGCATGTTGAGTTCGGGGCCAACAACATGGCGCTGCACACAAGCGAGACGGCATGTCGAACGAGCAGACAGCAACAGGCCAACGGGTGAGCACGAGTGAGGCCGAGTAGCTCAGAGTCGCGACGCAGCCGAGCCGCAGCGTTCTCGCTCGCACGCAAGCAAATCGAAATGCCACCGAGAGCCACCACCGAAGCGACCACTCGCCACCACCTATGACAAAGTGGCAAAATTGTTGCCGCTGCGACTGGGTTTTAGTGCGGCCGAGGCGCTGCAGGTGCGTTTAGTCTCGTTTTGGCAGCCACAGCGCGACGACGTCCAGAGCGGAGGCGACGGTCACCGTCCACGTCGAAGTCGAACTTCCCAGTTAACCATAAATCGAAGTTCAAGTTAAAGTGCAAAAGACAACAACTGAAACGTGTGCAAAACAAAACATTTTTTCCATCCGTCTCGAAATAAATATCATTTTTTTTCTGTTGACTGTGCATCCGAGTGTGTGAGAAGAGAGAAAGAGAGAGAGAGTGAGAGAGAGAACGAGAGCGAGTGTGTGCAAGAGTCCAATTGGAATCCGTGCGGCCGCCGTTGGCAATGAAAGACTCAATGAGCATATTAACCCAGACGCTGCCCACGACTACAGCGCCCAGCGAGCCGTCGCCACATCATTCGCATTCGCATTCGCACCACCATCATCTTCATCACCATTATCCGTTGCATCCACCGGCGGTCAACATGTCCATGTCCACCTCGTCCAATCTGAAGCCAAATCGGTCCCGCTTCATGATCAACGACATTCTGGCGGGCAGTGCGGCTGCTGCCAGTGCTGCAGCATTTTACAAGCAGCACCACAACAACAACAACAACAACAGCAACACAAATAATAACAATATCAATAACAACAACAACAACAACAACAGTGAGCATTTGGAGTCGGAACCGGGATCAGCAACGCCGCCCGGCTCAGTTTTGGGACTGGCACCACCGCCGCCTCCACATCAGCTGCCACATCAGCCGCATCCACATGCTCTAGCCGCTGTACACGGTCATCATCACCATCAGCATCAGCAACAGCAGCAGCAGCAGCATCCGCATCCGCATCCGCATTCACTGCCGCACGCCAAACTGACCCACTTCGGACCCACCGCCCAGATGGGCGCCAACGGCTTGAATGTGGCGCAATATGCAGCGGCCATGCAACAGCATTATGCAGCAGCCGCCGCTGCGGCAGCGGCGCGCAACAATGCGGCAGTTGCGGCGGCAGCAGCTGCAGCGGCGGCCGCTGGCACCGGCGAAGCGCCGCCGCCGTCGGCCGAGCTCGACGATAGCAGCGACTACCACGAGGAGAACGAGGACTGCGACAGCGACGAGGCGGGCAGCGGCGGCGGCGGTCACATGGACGATCACAGCGTTTGTAGTAATGGTGAGGTGAGCTTCTATATTATTTTGGGTGGGAGCGGGCCGGGGAGCAGTTGAGCAGGGGGGCGATGTGAGGAGTTAACTTTGTCAGTGGAAATTTGACAAAGTCAAGGTGAAGCGGTGATCAGATCAGAGCTGAGTAGATGCAAGTACATGAAGGAGAGCGCGAGTGGGTGTAAGAGAGGGAGAGAGAGGGAGAGTTTGGATAGTGACTTTACTCAACCTTGCTTATCATTGATGATCTCGCTTAGCTGAGCAGTCAGAGGGACCCGATCAGACCACAAAGTAAGGAGCAATCGGGCCAAGGCCCTGGTACATGAATGTTATCTATGCTCAAGGTCCACAATTGTGCGCTGATAGCAATGAAGATGCCGACAATTCCAATAATAATAATCACATTAATAAATACTAATTACAATTTCTAAATATATAATTGCAATGGCCCCACTTCAATGACGCGCGAGTCAATGAATCTCGTATCGATTCCCGATCAGAGAGCGCACTATAGATAGATCTACACTTGAAGTCTATATATGTATAAATGTCAATTAATGTGCTTAAGTTGACAGTTTGAAGATTCTGAAATCAAAATTCATCGGCATATTAGACACATATATCATATATATGTCTGCTATATGTATAAAGAAATATTTTGATGCTTTACTATACCCTATTGGCTGTCTAATTCAATGGCATTTCATGACAATTGTCGCTCTGTTCGCGATAACCAATCGTAATGCGAATCTCTCTGTCCGTCCGTTTGCCCGCCCGTCCGTTTGCCTGACTAAGTGAATGTCATGCCAAGTTCGTTGCCAGAGTCTTTTGTCTGTGTGTTGGGCAGGCGGCGAGGGAGTGCAGCCGCTTTGCAAAACAAACTGTAAAAATTGCATGCAACAACATGCCCAGATTCTAGTCTGAGCGGCAGCAGACATTTGTTGGCGGCCTTTTGGATACTTCTAAAAAATTGCATTTTCACGCTTTGTTTGCTTTTAACGCCCCCCGCCAGCCCCCAGCTCCGTTCACTTTGCTTGCACTCGCCATTCCATTCCGATTTGTGCATTTGTCTGCCAGCAAAATTGTTTAAACAGTCAGCGAGCAACAACATTGAATTGGAGGCGTGGCTCGCCGTCTGTGTGGGAAGAGGGGGGAGTTGAAGCCGCCCAACATCCACTTGGAATGGAGCAAAGCGCAGTTTGCAGAACTAAATTTTATGCTTTTGTTTTTAAGCCCAACGTCACACTAATTATATATAGTTAGAAGCAAAACGTTGTCTTTGCTCGAGCATGTTCTCTCCCTCGCTCTCCCTCTCCCTCTCTCTGTCTCGCTAATTGTGGTAAATGTTATAAAAATGGAATTTAATATCGTTTGATAGACGCCCCAGAGCTACTTTTATGTATTAAATGTTCTCAAAGTGTGCTTGTGTGTGCGTGTGTTGTGCGTGTGTTGTGCGTGTGTCTCTCTTTGCCAAATGAATCTGCACTCTCCTCGACCATTTATTGCAGCAATTTCCTGTGTGCAATTGTAATTTTATAAACGGTAGTCGCGTCTTGTTGGCCCAGCGGCTGTGGCCTGGACGCCCAGCCAGGCCTGACGTTGTTGCTAAAAAGCAACAACAAGATGACGGCCAGAAGGCAGGAGCAAGTGAGACAGCCAAGAAGAGCGCCAAGTTGCCTGGAAGCAGCGAAAGCTGCGTCTCTCAAGCATCTGCCTGCTGCTGCTACTGCTGCTGCTGCGCTGCTTTTAATTTGGCTCGATTGCAACTCTGTTTAAGCTGGGTAATTGCAACGTTTTTTTGTTGCGTTGCCTCAAGCAGCAGCACAGACAGAGACAGAGGCAACCATGTTAAGAATTTTGCTAGCTGCGCTGAGCAAACAGCTCTCACAGATCAGAATATTAAGTTGGCTTTGGCTTTAATGCGCACTTGGCAAATTTTCGCTTTAACTAATTTAACGCCAGGAAAGTGGCAAGTGGCCCTGGCCCAGACCTGAGCCGAGTCGCTTATCGGACAACCGCAATCAGATAAATTTACATAAATTTTATGTACTAAATAGCAAACGAGCAGCGCAGCTAGGCTGAAAGCCAGAAGGGTTGGCCAATAGGCCGGCAAACGGAAATGGCAACGGCAACGGGAACAGGTATGAGGACTGGGCCAAGTTTAGACATTTCGCTACACATTTTTATTGCACACACACAACAAACAACAACAAGAGAGACAGAGAGAGAGAGAGAGAGAGAGCCAGTGACAGGGGGTGTTGCGCCAGACCTGGTCGCTGAGAACGGAAAAGGCAATTGCGTGGCCTTAAACGTTGTTGAACTCTAGCGCCCGCGACTTGGGCCAATTCAAGTGCAGCTTAGGTTGGGCTGAGCTGCAGCTGCAGCAGCAGTTAGCATTAAGTACTTGGCTTAGACAATGTCAACTAACGATTCTGGCTCTTTGGGCGTGCAGGTGGCAAGGACGACGATGGCAACAGCATTAAGAGCGGCTCTACCAGCGACATGAGCGGGCTGAGCAAGAAGCAGCGAAAGGCGCGCACCGCCTTCACCGATCATCAGCTGCAGACGCTGGAGAAGTCGTTCGAGCGGCAGAAATATCTCAGCGTACAGGAGCGCCAGGAACTGGCGCACAAACTGGACCTAAGCGATTGCCAGGTGAAGACCTGGTATCAGAATCGCAGGTGAGTTGCCGCCCCACCAGAGGCTCTCAGTCGCAGCCAGTCACATTCGCTTCAACTAAACTATTGCCTTTGCTCTTCTCTCTGTTCGCTGCAGAACCAAGTGGAAGCGACAGACGGCTGTGGGCCTGGAGCTGCTCGCCGAGGCGGGCAACTTCGCCGCCTTCCAGCGGCTTTATGGTGGCTCGCCATATCTGGGCGCCTGGCCGTATGCGGCGGCTGCCGGTGCCGGCGCCGCAGCTGCCGCGCACGGCGCACCGCCGCACTCCAGCATTGATATCTACTACAGGCAGGCGGCCGCCGCAGCGGCCATGCAGAAGCCGCTGCCGTACAATCTGTACGCGGGTGTGCCCAGCGCCCCCTTCTCGCACCTGTCCGCCTCCAGCTCGCTGTCCTCGCTGAGCAGCTACTATCAGAGCGCGGCGGCTGCTGCCGCGGCGGCCAATGGAGCTGCCGCTGGTGGTGGTGGTGCGGTGCCGGCGCCACTTGCAGCCGCGCCAGCCGCTGGCATGGCTATCATACACAAGCCGCAGGCGCTGACCACATCGCCGACGCAGTCGCAGGCGGCCAACGCTGCGTCGCCCGCACATCCGCCCTCTACGCCTAGTCCGACGCTCAACCCGGGCAGTCCGCCCGGCCGGTCCGTCGACAGCTCCCAGGCGCAGTCCGATGACGAGGATCAGCTGCAGGTGTGAAGTGGCCAAAGAGGAACGAGCAGAAGAAGCAGCAGCAGCAACAAAACAGAATTTGTTTCCAAAACACAAAAGGGCAAAAGGTTGAGTGTGTGCGTGAGTGTGTGTGAGAGAGTGTGAGTGTATATATATATATGTGTGTGTGTGTGTGGGTGGGTGTGCGAGTGTTAGTGTGGCGTAACTTATTTGTTTGCTTTTAGTAATTTATTAAATACAAATAATTAAACAATTTTTTTTTTGAGATTAGGCTTAGGCAATCGAATGCATCACATATTTATTTAAATGTTGTAAAAATTAGCAGCCAAACAATTAAATTTAATAAACTAACAAATAGTGACAACTGCAACAAGAACAATGTGCATATTTAAGCTAGCCACAAGATGTATTATCGTAACTTAAAAAAAAAAACAACAACAAAAACAAAAGGAAAACAAAAAACTTTTAATAAAGTTTGCATTTTTTTTAAATAATTATTTTTTTTATTATTCATTATTATTAGAATAAACGTGGTCGTTGTATTTGTAATGTAAATGTAATAACAATTTTTTTGTCTAAATAAAAATAATAATAAGCTGAAAGTGTGTGAGAGAGAGCGAGAGAGGGGGGCGAGGCGAAGGCAATTAAATTATTGAACAGCGGCAATTAACAATTGGTAAGAGGGCTGGGTAGCAGCTGGGGTGGGGGGCTGCCTGGGCTGAGGGGGCAGCAACCCCTAATGATAATAATTGCATGCAAAATGCATTTAACCGCAATTAGTGCATTTATTAGGCCAAAAGCTGACAGCGACTAGCTGGCCAGTTGGCCAAGAACAGCAAACGGCAAACGGCGAACGGCGAACGGCTAACTGCAACTGCAACAGCAACTGCCACTGGCACAGCCACTGTTATGGCCATGTTCGGGCTAACTTTCGGCTGGATTGCGTGCCTCGACTGCGTGCTGCAGGCCAAGTGGCAAGGCAAGCCTTCGAGTTTAGCTAAGGACACCTGAGCAGCTGTACCAACGCCGAGGAGCATATTGATTCTGTGCAAGTGTCGAGCTGCCAGTGCAGCAGCGCATGCAGCAGTCGCCGTGGCTTGGCAAAACTGTAAAACTGCAAAGCTGCTAAGGCGCACTCAGTCACCCCAAGCAACTGAAACAAAAAAAAAACAAAAGTTGTTACCGCTGCACGCTTCTTGGCAAGCAACACGCGCGTTCCTCTCTCTCACTCGCTCGACAAATTGGTTGCAAATGTTAATGTTGTTGGCTTAAAACAAAAGCGACGCTTGGTAGGACAATAAATGCAACGGCCGAGAACATCAGCAGCAGCAGCAGCAATAACAATGCCCGCAGGGGGGTTGGGTAACCGTTCATTAAAGACAAATGACATAAAACCGGCACCATGGATGAGCCCTCACTCTCTCCCGCTCGCCCTCTCACTCTGCCCCTGTCACTGGGCATGGTCAATTAAACATGATCGTTGTCGGTAGCCAAATGTTGCTAATTACTGCAATGCTGCCAGCAATTGGCGAAAGTGCCTGGCCAAAGTGCTGGTAAGTGCAGCCAGTGTTGGTCAATGGCATAAGCTGCTGATAAAAAAAACTATTAAGACTTTTCAGGCGAACACAGACTCGGCTGACTATGCCCTGTTTCTCCTATACTTACAGTGCTAGGTCCTTGATATGAAGTAAGTATAAAAGACTGTATATCTTAATATATATGCATCTATATGATATCTTTAAGCAAGCAGCCTTATGCTATGCTTACCTTGATCACTGAGTTGGCTAACTCATCTAGTCAGTAGGACCACACAGCATCATATAAGTCACGGTCTATATGGACTAATACGAAATAGAATAGAAATAAGATTAGAGAAGCTATCTCAAGTCAAGTTAAGTATGCCACATTCTGTAATTATCATTTCAAAAAACATTGCTCGTCTGTCCGAGCGTCCGTCTGTTCGTCCGTCCGTCCGAGCGAACGAGCGTTGACCTATAAGAAAACCGATATAAAAAAAGACCGATTTTTTGGTGACTCTACAACACACGCAGATCAATTAATCGATTACTATTCTCATTTGTTATCGATTAAAAAGGCTATCGAGTTTTATTTTCTTACTTTTTTCTCCTACGTTTTTGGTGCTAGAGTCTGAAAATGTTGCATTTGATTTAATGTGCATTTCATTCAGTTGCAATTTGTGTTACAACTTGACTTCAACATAATATAAATTTTAATCGATTTTTAGCAATTGTTATCGATAGCTTGTAACAAAATTGAAGCAAATTAGTCAAGGATAAATTTACTTTTTATTGTAGCCCATTATGAATTCAGACAAGGCATCAGAGCAAGACCTGCCTCACAACAGGAGTGACTAACTAGACTTTAGCTATCAACAGATTGTTATTGTTATATTGAGCTTGCGAGGATACAATTGTGCATTATTTGACTACGCATTTTGATTGCAAGTTTGATGCTGAGCCAGTTTCCTTGCCATTGCAGCTCGGTGTAATGGAATGGTTTATTTTGGTCCGGGGCTGTAATAGGTAATTGCGTAAATTCCATGCATAAATTAAGGACAAACCAGGCAAACATCAAATCGGAATCAATATTGTGTAGTGGCTTATGAGGCTGTTCGGTTATCAATATCAGCAGCCGTAGACTTTGATATGCAAACTCCGCCGGCCGATGGGTGGGGCACGGGCGCTCGGGCCGTCGGGGATTGCGTGGGCAATTGGGAATTTCGCATCGCCCGGCGCATTTATGAATTGAAGCCGAAATATTGCCTGCTTACTGTGCTGTAACATCAATTTGCATGGAAATCAGCTCCGACAACAACAACAACAACAACAATATCAGCAACAGTAACTCCATCAAAGTAAGCATCCATATGCAGACTGTGTGTGGCTCCTGTGCAAATATCATAATATAAATTAGTCTTAAAGCTCGAGCCTTGATTTGATGATTTCATTTGCGATTCTGTTGAACCAATTCAAGTTGGGATTTGTTTTTATTTTGTGCTGTGCGCTTTGAATGATGCCTCGCATAGCTTTGCATATTTTGGTCTAAGCTGCACATTTGCCAGCTAAGTGCAGGGAGTCGGGCTGCAAATTTCGATGGGCGGCACGAGCGAACCGGAAGAACGCCTACGATTCGGGCGTTCAACCTTCATTCCAAATTGCAAACGGAAGAAGAGGGAACTCTACTTGGGCCCGAGCTTTACTCTATCTGGCAAAAAGCAAACAAATAATTGAATAAAAGAAATATTTATGGCAAAAAAAAGATATAAAAGCTATTTATAGAACAATTATGAATTTAATAAACTTTTTATTGGATTTAATTTCGCATTTTATATTCCATTTATTTCTGTTAGTCGCATTTTTTGCTGCAGTCGATTGCATTTCCGCTGACCCTTGCCATATGCCACTTATCAGCGTGGCGGCTGTTCATGAACGGGGCGTGGCAGGAGGCAGTGGGCGGCATTATTTATGAACTAGTTAAGTGATGCATCTTGTAATGGAATATGAAAAGGTCCAGAGAGTTCAGAGAGGCTGTAGCCGCAGGCCTCGATGAGCTGGCTTCGTTATCTATATAGAGAGTTTACCAATAATATGGCTATATCTTGATAGAGATAGGGATGGTAAGAGCTATTTGGCTAGGCCAAAGCTTTGCTTTCATGATTTCTCTCTTTGGGATGCCTAAAGTGTGCAGCTAACGCGCAACGCTGGGCAAAACCCGTTCATATGCATCAGCATCTATGCAAGGCGCGCTTTAAACACATTTGACAGCAAGCGGAAATGGCGCTTAATTGTCACCACAAGCCGCAAAGTTTTGCCTTACCATTACAAATTATTTTTACTGTTTCTTTATTAATTTTATAATTTTTTTTTAAATTTTTACTTATTTTTTTTGTAGGGTTGTTTGATAATTGCCTGAGTAATTTTTATTGATATATCTAAGTTAAGCGGGGACAGATAGAGAGAAGGAGAGAGAGAGAGGGGGGAGACTGGGAGCAACAGTTCGTTAGGGTATTTAAGATTTGCTGTGAAGCTTTTGGCCTGTACGGAGTGTAGCGCATCGCCTTGGGGGCGGCATATGCAAATTTCATGTGTTTGTTTTCCACAGCGATTATATTCAATAATTGTGTGCATTTAGACAAGTTACAAGCCCCGGGCCAGCGGCGGGCGCACAGACAATGCAGCAGACGCAGCCCTGGCCAATTCAGGCGCCGTCCAAATGGACGCCAGTCACGCCATCGCACCCTCCGCATGCCCAGGCCCAAATTCAAGAGCTGCCCTTCCAGCCGGGCTAGTCAGCCCAGGCAGCCCCCATGCCAGGCATCCAGACGTGTGTAGGTGTTGAAAGTAACTGCAGGCAAGTGCAGGTGCAGGCACAGGCACAGGCACAGGCGCAGGCGCTGAAGCAGGTGCAGGTGCATTGTCATCCCGCTACCCGCTCTTGCTGCCATCTCCCTTGCCAGCAATCAGCTCAGCAATCAGGGGCAAGGCGAGCAGCCGTCGACATCGGCGTCGGCTCAGAAATGTGTCGGAAGTCTTTAGTAAAAGTTAAATAGAAACCATATGGAAGATTTATACGCTTTTGCCCCGTTATACTTATGCAAATTTCAGCATTGCTGTCCGCACTCAACTGTTCGCTGTCCGCTGCCCGCTGCTCAAGCTGTTTCGCATATCTGGCACAAGTCTTCAAATTTATTAATCTCCACAGCCAGCCACAGTAACCAGCTCCATAAAGTGGGCCAGTATTAATTGTTTGCATATAAAACACGTCTTTACTTTTTAATTTCGAAGCAGAGCAACATTCGTATACGATTAATTTATTGGCTCTTTGAATGTGTTTGAGCACAATGTGTGCTACACCGACATGATAAATCAATCTAATTGAATGCATATTTCGGATATATATATGAAGCATATTTAACATAAAATTGTTGTTGATTTGAAAGGTTAAGCCACAGCTAAGGCTGCTCGGCTCAAGGCTAACATAAGACTAACATCTTCACTCTTCAGCTAGAGCTGAACTGTATTTAGTCGAGATCTATTGGACTTGCTGCCAGATCTCTATAATAGGATAATTCAATTTAATGAAATAAATATTCCAATAAGGAAAAGTTCAAGAGAAAGTAACAGCAACTGATATTTGTACTAATACTACTT